CCAAGCAGCCTCCATGCCTCCAGTGTCTTCTTCCCCACTTGGAGCTGAACCCAGAAGGACATTTCTTTCAACAGCAGAAAGCAGCCCCCAAGTCTTACTTAGTAGATGCCAGCACTTAAAGGCAGTGGTTCCCAACCTTTTTTTGGCCATGCCCCACCTAAGCATCTTTAAAATCCTGATTATATAATTCTAACTTTACTCAAGAAGCGAACTCTACTCGTGTGGAGGAAGCCTAAAAGGCCATTTAACTTGTTTTAAACAAGATTCAAAGTGCCCCCTTGTAACAGCAGCTAGAATTGTATTTGCACAAAATTGGAAAGCAGGCAAAATCCCATCGGAAGGGGAGTATAATAAAGAAAATATTAGACTCTGCAGAAATGAACAGGTTGACATTGAGAATTAAGGACTAAGAGGAATCCGTGTACTTACAGGACATGGGAGCGATTTTATGACTGGCTTGAAAAAAATGTAAATAGAAAGAAAAAGGAACAAAACATGAAATAAATATCTCAGATGACCCATAATTAAATTAGCGGGAGGGGAAATAAGAAAACACCAAAATGTAAATATGCAGGCGCAAAAATGATATGAATTGACAAATGTTAAATAGCAATTATAAGAATGTATATCTAAGAATTAATTTGAAAGGAAAAATAAAAAAAAATTACAAAAAAAAAAGATTCAAATTGCCCCCATTAAAAATCAAATTGCCCCCCACGTTGGGAACCACTGACTTAAGGAGATAAGGAGGTTATTGTAAGAGGAAGCCGACTATCTAGATGGCCCCCATTCATAAGCAAAGCGAATACTCCCAGCAGAAGTCCATTCAAGACAAGATATTTCAAGACCTCTTATAAGCTTATAAGCGTGCGAGACGATATTCTGGGGAGGGGGGGGGGAGAAAACTTGGGTTTAGAAGTTTTCAAAACTATGGTGTATATGCATAATTATAGGCAAATGATATGCATATCGTTTTGTAAGGGGTGCGAGAATATATCAGAAACATTCTAGGGGTGTGAGGTGTAGAAAAGGTTGGGAACCCCTGCCATACAGCAAAGTTTGATAGCTAACAAAAGCAAATAGCATTATAATGAGTAGCCCCTCTCTCAAAAACCAGCACAGGATATATAAGCCATCAGCCACGCAACCCAACTCAACACCTTCTTTAGAAACACAAAGCCCATATTGCACAAATCCCAAACTTAAAAAAAAACAAAACAGAACCGGTATAAGAACCCTTCCTTTCACTCAGCTAGTTGTTTAGCTGACCCAGAACTGCATGCTGTCTTTGTGGTGTGGTTTTGTTTATCAATAAACTTTCTTTCCAATCAGCCTCCATGTTGCTTCCAGCTTCTTTCTCCCAGTTTGGAGTTGAATGGGATGGATTTTCCTTCCAACTCTTTGAAAGCTGGCTAGATCAAGCTAAGCAGCTTCAAACTAGAACTGATGAGGAAAATTGGGATTCCCCCCCCCTCCCAAATGACATTGGTACTTTGGCGGGGGGGGGGGATCCCCCTGCATTTTTACCAACTATTATAGAATGGTTACATTTCATATATGGACTGTGTCACCTATCAATTTTCAGTGATGTTGAACAAAATACGGGGTCCTAACACTGTTGTAAGGATTGCATAGGTATTATTTATGTATTCATCACAGTTGTTATGCAGAAATAAATCTATCCACACTGTTATGGAATATTGTTATTTTTAGGAGTTCAATTGCTGAGTAACATCCCCAAAATCTGTTTTTCTTTATTTGAAACTAGCTGACCAAAATTAAGCTAGGTCAGAGTTGAAAAAACATCTGAGAAGGCAAATTTTTCTATGGAAACATGGACGTCTACACAAAATCACCAGGAGGAGGCTGACAACAGCTTCATTATTTTTTAAAAAAAATTTTCCCATTTCAATACCTGTTCTTATTTAACAATCCCACTACCTTAATCAAATAGGAAATTCCAGATGGCTTGCATACAAAGGAATAAATAGGGCATTGTCATAATAAACAAGAAACGACACATTTTTGCAAGCCTCTAGCAAAAGTCAAACATGTACCAATAGTTATTCCAATCATCAACAACTATTTGATTTAAAGGTATTTGTAAAACTATAAGTCTAAGTGCTATTGCTATCCAAAACAAGATTGTTTTAAATTGATTTTATCTGAAGGG